ATCTAAACTTTCGCATTTATAATGTCTACTTATTATAAAGAGGAAAACTTTGTTTGTTTGATTGTAATGAATAGGCACAAAAACTACTGGGCCGATTTCAATAATTCTTACACCATTGTAAAGCTACGTTGTCAGTGAGTACCATAGGCTACATTTTTATTATATTTTAATATCACGCAGACGAAGTCGCGGGCGATAGCTAGTATGATATGTACGTAGATCGTAGAAATTAATTCACAGAAAACGTAGATGAAGTTTATGTCAGACTGTAGAACTGTTGCCGAGAGTTACGAAGGCACAAAGTTATAGCTGGCAACGAGCCCAAGTTATATAAACGAGTGTAAATTCACGCACTAAGACATTCGCATATATACCAAAACATCAGTGACTGTGTCTACCAAGAAACTTATAAATATATGGATGTAATTGTAACTTTATTTGCAATCATAAAAGTGTTAAAGGAATAAATAAAAATAAAAATGCCTTTTATACCATGCCATAGTTTAAAAAAAATTAGATGGTACATAAAAGTGTTATTACGTTAAAAATGTTTCGTCTATAGATATGGGACTTACTGGCCAGTTATTATCCAAATAATATTTATAAAAAAAACTAAAAGAATTCCGTAAACAGAGTCTTGGCTTTTGGCCAACACCTGCAGACTGCGGCATTGGTTGTGCAGCACGTTTTAGATCAATAACGTGTGTATTCTGTTCGTAACCGTATTCAATATTCTTGTTTGAATAAAACAGACATGAAATAGTAGATATTTATTCAAAATGGTTTTAAAGCTTTATAGTAAAATAAAATTACGAATATCAATAAAAAAACTTACTTTATTATAAAAAAAAATGCCTAAATAGCTCTAACGACATTGTCAACGTAGAATTAAAAAATTAGTAAAAGAACAAAGTCTGTCACTCAGTGATAACTTAGCTTCTTAAATTTGAAAGAAATTTTGAAATCAGTCTAATAGTTTTTGAGTTATTACAATATGTTCTAAAATACAAATATTTCCCCTTTATTGTATTAGTATAGACAAGAAATGTGTCTATAATTTTGATTGTTATTTTGTAACAGATCAAATTATGTTATCAAATGCTACTCGTGAGATAATTCGAAACTAATTATGTTTTGCGGTAAGCCGAAGCATCTGAGAGGCATGTAAAGGTGTGATTACATTAATTAATGAATATGTTATCACGGGATAATAATTCTAGAAATATCTATACGGTCTTATGAATGTAAAACTATTCTTTTCTTTATATCATAAAGATCATCATCATCTCCCCTGCCTTATCTTACTCACCTAGGGTCGGCGCACCGGGTTTTCGTCCTCCAAAGCATTCTATCATCCGTCATCTCAGTCATCCCTCCCTTCTTGATCATGTCACCTTTCACGCAATCCATCCATCTCTTTCTAGGTCTACCTCTACCGATGTACCCCTCCACATTCATAACTAACATCCTTCTTGTCACATGCGATTCATCCTTTCTCATAACATGCCCATACCACTGTAACATTTTACTCCTTATTTTCTCAACCACTGGGGCTACTCTCAAACTTCCTCTAATATACTCATTATATCATAGAGATAAGTAATTATAAACTAGGTAGTATCTTATATTTTCATTTCTTTACTCGGTAATTAATCAATGTTTAAATCATTAATGCTTATAATTGAATTTCCCGGTATACATTTTTGTGACAAAATTCTGGATGAAATTTGTATAAAAATTACACGTAGGTCAGCAAAATTCAACGTCGCAGAAAATTTGACAAGGTCCCAATTAAAAATGTTTGTTCGAACGTAAGGTATTTTGCAGCCAACGCTTTTGAATTTAATTTTTTTTTTGCAAAATCGAATTAATTTTTTACTAAACCATTTGACGAGAGTAGATTAATTTTTGACAGAATTTCCTATCTGTTATTAAATAAAGAGAAAATATTTATTTAGGGGAAACTGACCCCCCTCTTCGCATTTTAGCGAAGCCCATATATCATATGTCTTCTATACATATAGTTAATAAAATTTGAGAGTCTAATATCAAAAGAAAAACTCCGCATTTCAGAATGCTAATGTACTTGCGTTGCTGATAACGAAAATCGTATATATTTTTTTTTGTCTATCCGCAAGCTGCGTTTGTTCCGGGTAATCTCCGAAACGGCTGAGCCGATTTCGATCGCACTTTCACTGAAGGGTAGGTGACATAGACGGGCATATAATAAGCTACTTTTAGACCGACGTCCCAAAAGAAGGAGAGGTACTCAATTCGTCTGTATGTTTTTTTATCTTAATATTGCGTGGACGAAGTCGCGGGCAACGGCTACTATATTTATAAAGTTTTCTCTACCACAACTTTGTTTACTTATTTTTTATTAAAGCTACTTTTATTTTGAACCATTTTATGATGTCAAAGTTTTATCTCGTCCCATCTCAATGGCAACTTTTACCCTGTAGTTAGTGTCTTGAAAAATAAAACTTTTTTTCACTATAAAGGAAGATGTAAATTTATCCTAAGGGAATAGATATCGTAAAGTGAAACAGGTCGAAGTTTTCAAATAAAACGTGATAATTTTAGAAATGTTCTTTAAGCTTGGTGTGATTTGGAACAAATGAGCTATTTCCTTTTTTAATAAGGTTTTTTATCATCAAAATGTAACCACTGTTGAGTCTATTTTCTAAGCAATCAATTGCAAACACTAACATTCGAATCAAGGACACTTTTAACACTATAACTAGGTTTAGCCCATGACTCCGTCCGCACGGATTTAATAAAAACAAAATAGAATAGCCTCTCCAGACTATCTTATACATCTATACCGAATTACATCTATTTCCGTTCAGCCGTTTAGGCTACAAACTCTAACAAACATCCATCCATCTAAACTTTTGCATTCATAATGTTACTACAATAACTAATATGCTTCACACACTAAAATTCAAAATTCATATTTATAAATTGTTTAAAAACCCTAGAAATCCTAAATGTCTAGTTGTAAAGTTGAACCCTCGTTTAATTAACTAAGATGCAATAAATGTTAAATGAAAAGACAAACTGTGAACAATGTAATTAACCAAGATTTTAACAAAAAGTATTTTATTAAATTCTCGACTCTTGAGACAACAATGGCACCTTTTGTTCCGTCGTAAAATTATGCTAAGACAAGAAGTTGGCTGTCATGTTTATATTACGGCGCAACTGCGACATCTAACGAACACTCACGATGAATTTGTTTAACTCTCCTTTCTGATACTGTATTGTTATTTTAAACTAGCTTTCGCCCTTGACTTCATCCGCTTGGAATTAAAAAAAGTGCCTAAAGTAGCCTATGTGTTCTTCTGGACTATCCTCTACGTCTATGCCAAATTTCATCGAGATCCGTTTAGACTACAAACTCTAAAACATCCATCCATCCATCGTAATTTCCGCATTTATAATATATATATGATTGTAGTATATAGTATGATTTACTGGAATTTAAAATGTTTAATAGAACGACTATATTTTTAATTATTTCAGATACAATTAACGGATTCTACAGATTAAAAAAAAACGAAATGAGTAACGTAAAAGTTAAAACAATTTGAATTTAAAAACAGAACAAAATAAATGAGGCTGCAGCTGAAAACAAGTAGTTATAATTGGAGCATGTCAAATTTCCTGCTACGCGTACCATCGTGGCCGTAGCACGGATGCTCACAAATCTCTTGCATGATAATTTATACTTTAAACGCATTACATTAAGGTTGAAAATACAATTTTTACTGTAATCAGTAAACTTTTAGTTGAAGCGACAGATACAAAGTTTGTTTTATAATTACCTCCGACTGTACGGACACTACACACTTTTTAAAACACGAAAATTGAGCAAAATATAAATTAATCACGTTAATAACGCATTAAGTGGTTTTTTTATTTATTTCTAGTGATAGAATGAAGTAAGCAACAAGATTTATTTTCAATTTAGGATACTTACTAACAACCTCAGTGAATATTACTAAAATATAATGCTTAACATTGGTTTATTTTTTGAATAAAACTACGATGTACTTAACATTGAATTAAATCTTTTTTATAATCAATTTACGATATTCAAATCCCTTACACTTCAATAAGCTTTACAGATTAAATTATGGCAACGATCTCACGATGTTTACTCTGTGGAAACCTAATAATAATGTAATATCTTTATGAGTAAATTCAGATATGAGATAAAACTCTGCAGGATTCATCCTTATACCGGAAGCTGTAATACTTTTTTTTATTTTAAAGCTGCTAGCATCGGCTTACGAACCTTCGTTACCGTGAATATAGGACACCTTAATCACGTAAGATTAAACTGAGGGATTATTCCAATCGGTAGCGGATAATTCTTTATTCAAACGCTTACTTTTATTATAAAAAGGGTTTTAATATCCGAAAATATTTAATTTTAATACATCACTTGTTTTGTTTTGTTTTTTCTTCTTAACTTTTAACCTATATCTATAAAGTTAGCATGAACGCGCCAAAATATTTTTTTTTCACGAACGAGTACAATAGTTGTAGAGCCATTGTGCCATTACATTGATAAACGACGTAAAAAAGTTTGCAAAGCCTCAATCGCAGATTTCGATCATGATTCATAATGTGTGAACTTGTAAACACATTCACAAAGAGTGAAAACGGGAGAGAATTTTATGTGTTGAATATTTTACATATTTTGGTCAAAATAAAAATGTTTAAAAATTATGCTACTGGGATGTTGCTTAAAACTATTGTATTAAACATTTTACAGTGAATTTAAATGACAGATAGACGCCAAGACCTTCTCGGACACTGTTCCACAAATTGGAATAAAAGTCAAATAGCTTTATTTGATTTTAATATAATAAAATATACAATATCAGAAATAAACTATTAGATTTAAAAATAAAAAATAATAATAACGATTATGTCGATGACAAATTGTTTTAAAGTATACAAATAATATAAATATTTTTAACTTATATTAACAGAATTTGTTTCTTCATTGTTTACACAAATTTGGTCAACAAATATAAACTTTGAATAAAAGGCCAAAGGAACCAAAGAAAACGCACCATAAACAACAGATTTAGACTCTTAGAACAAACTAAAACAAACGCATCATATCCTGAGTCCGTAATGTTGGGGGCATTTTGAAGACTAATATGGGTCGATTATTTATTTGTAATTCGGCTCGAAGGCCCGTAGCCAATTGTCGTGGAAGACCCATAAGTGGCGGATGACTTTCCCGCCAAGCGATTCGACGCAAATACCAAGAGGGCGTTGCTGGACAAGCTAGTGTTAAATCCAACCAGTTCCTCTCGAAATCCGTTTCGTTTCTATAATAGAAATCAAACGTTAAATTTAATTAAAGAAAAGTATAATCATTTCTTCAGATCGTTTTCCCCTTTAAAAATTTAGTAGTAGTACTATTTTTTTAAATTCCGCGCATAGTCTTTAATTTTTCTTTCTCAATTACATATTTATGTAACATGTGAAGTCCAATATTTGGAACAGTATGTATTTGTTAAAAATTACCAAGATATTTTACAATCATCAAGATTCTAGAAGGTTTTGTAGAATTTTTACCTGAAAAATTCGGTGTCCTTGTCCTTATCTTTATTTCGTTTTATTCTTCGTGTTGGTGAAGTAGGTCTAAATCTATAATATTTAGGCATTTTACGATAAAAATTTAGGAGATATACATGCCAATAAAACCGACTTTTATACACCCCAAATGTCACAAAAATGAAATAACTTTTTGACGTTCTTGTTCTTATTTAAAAAAATAACCAACAACTACAAAAATGTAAAATTCGCTGTGTGCCTTTTTCATTTCACAGAAGAATAGTACTAGACAAATTAGTAAATGAAACCTAAATAGGTGGAAACCCAAAAACTGTATTGAAAAGAAAAACAAATAATACAACATAATCGTTTCGACCGGGCAATACATTGGGGCTTGAGCACTTCTGGCATGTTATTTAAATACTAATATGTATTTACAGGTATTTTATTAAATAAAATTTTGACCATTTTATGAACATATAATTAATTCTACAATTAAGGAAAAGCAGACAATAGTTATACTATTACCCTATCAACAAGACATGAAATTGCATGGAATGAAACGTTCACTGAAATGTCAATATGACAAACAAAATCTGACATTTCATTGTGTTTGTAAAAAGTATAAATTGTGAATTTTTAATTGGATTTTGTAGGTGGAGAAGATAAATAGTTCATAAATTAATCATAAAATGCTTTTACTTGGCTAATCCAAGTGAAATGGCGTTTTTAGAAGTAAGTATTTTTTTAAATAGTCTGATTGATTTTGTGGAGCGAAAAGAAATGATCATTTAATTCATCGTGTTCATATTTCCTTTATGAGAGATATCAGGTTTAGACGAAATTTTAGTATTTAAATAACTTCGGATTTACGGTATACAAGGATTGACATAAATACTGATAAGGCAAATTCTAAAACGATGTATTCATTTTTAGAGGCGTCGATTTACCTTCTTCGATGTTCATAACAATGTTGATGGTGGAAAAATTGCAGAATGCCTTCAGGTACGTTAAAAAACAATTGGATTTACCCCTTTGATAGAATACCATTTTATTTATTTGTAATAAAATGAATATCCAAACATGCCAAAAGAAACGAAATGTACGAATAATTAAATACAACAACATTGAAACTGTTAGTGAATTACACCTTGTTAAAACTAGACATAAAAACTAATCACATGTTAACAGGACAAATTATTCAATTTGTCCTATTCTGTATAAATCCTGATCAGGGTTATTAAACTGTATTTTTTTATATAAGATATGATAATACACTATGAAATTTAATTTCCAGGATACATCAGTGTCAGCGACCACTAGTGGGAACAATCATATTATCATATGTGATGTCACAGGCTTGGCACACATCATCTCCCGTTCCTGGGAGATCCTGTCATTCAAGGCCTATGAGCTGACAATTACACTGGCACAACAGCTTCCACATGACCCTTACTTAGTCACTATCGGGGTGAGCTTTCACATTTAAATGTATTGTTTGATATTAGGTTAAAGTTCCTTTCCATGATGCACATAATGATTTTGTAAAACAGTGGTGGCCAACATGGTTAGACCTAAAATTAGGATTACTAGGGTTCTTTGGTGAGTTAGACTGGCTGGAATAATCCATGTCCTGTCCTCAGGCAAAATATGCACTAGCCGTGGACTTGTAGAGAATGTTGCCCTCCTACTACTACTACCAGATTTAAAGCTGTTTACTCAAGACACTCTGCTATCAGAGACTATCTACCAAAACATACTTCTTGTAAATATAAATGTAACAGCAGTTCAGCATGTAATTGTGTAGTATTTAAGTTTATCAGTTATTTATGTACAGTAGAACCTCGATAAGTTAAAGTGCAAGGGAATCACAAAATATTTTAAGTTCTAGAGGTTTTAAGTTATCAAGGGTCTATGTTATAGAGGTTTTGGGCTCTGATGGGAAGAGAACATATTATTTTTTGAAGTTATAGAGGTTTTTATGTTACCAAGGTCCTACTGTACTTATATTATTTGCCTTGCCACAATCGCCTACATTAATAGTCATTATAGACTGGTTGACCACCCATGTTCTAGAAGATACCTGAAAGCTAGGAGTTATATAATATTTTTTAATATAAGCTACAAAAATATTTCAATCCTTGGGTAATAAATTTTATGTATTTTTCAAAACAATAATTTACTTTAAACTAATGGTTTCACATTAGGTAACCTAGACTCAATTTTAATTTTCAATATAGAAAGCTGCATGAAATGTAATTCCCAGTCTTTGAATCAATTCTATTTGTTTTTTCCAGGATGATGACCCAGGAATAAATCCCATGATTAAAGTATGGGACTGGTCTCGGAATGATAGGGATCCAACATGCACCAGAGTCTCGAGAGCTGTGCCATCACATTTAAGGGCAACACCTGCCACTGCCCTTGCAGTACATAATAAGGTAAGTCAGCACAGTATATTTAGGTGCTATTTTCACTGGCACCTACATCTCTTATGCTGCATTGCTGTCACATGTAAAACATTCTGGCTAAGTGGAAATAGATACTAAAAAATTTCAGCATATGTATTTTTTTCAGAATCTCTTTGCAGTTGGCTTCCAAGATGGTGCTGTGTCACTATTCCGCGGCGATATCTCCAGACAGCGAAGTGGAAAGATGAGGACATTGCCTGATTCTGGCACAAGTCCTATCACAGGACTCGCTTTCAAGTTAGTAACATATTTATGCAAATTTAACAATTTATCGAAATTTGTAGTTAGCAGTCATTATAAGAATTATTAATTAAGTCTGAATGTTAGTTACTACTAGCATTTGCCTACGAATTTTGCACGAAATTAAAAAAATATAGTAAATAATCTATGTGGTCTTGCAGATTACTTGACTGAGTGTTCATCTGTGATAAATGTAATATAGTTACATTAAGCCTTTTTAAAAATACATAGTATGGAACATTCATCCATCCAATGAGTCATGTCAACTTGTCATCCTTGTGAAATACTGACTTTATGTTTAGTTTACATTATTCCAATCCAGTAAAGAATCCAGTGCTAACTTATCTATACTATTATAATAAAGCATAAACACACACTTCTTTGTTGCCTAAGAAGTCAGCAATTACAGCATATTTTTGAATAATACTTTTTTTAATAAAAAGCCCTACACTTACGTCACGCTTTAGGCTATATATTTTCACGCCATTAAACTTAGGGGGTAAATATTTTGGATAAAAACCCTAATGTGGGAAAGAGACCATAAGTTGCTGCCAACTTTAAGGAAGCAAGGTTTACACGGTTTGTCATCATGGCATGTCATTTTGACATTTGCGATTGATAATTTGACAAATTTCATGCGGATGAAGTGGCATGCGAACGGCTAGTATCAAGTAAAATGTAACAGTGTGTTAAAAAAAATCAGTTGAAAACCAGCTTTGGATTTAATTGTAATAATTAACTTGATTGTTCTATAATCAAATACTTACAAACATTCAAAAATCAAATCATTCCTCTATATAATATTCATATAGATGAATTGGTTGTAGTTATTATTAACCGAAATGGGTAGGATATATAGTTCCCCGTGTGTAGAGGTGCGGACAAGCTGTTTGTGGTGAGCCGCTCCGCCACGCTGGTGTACCGGCTGTGCGAGGAGCGCTGCGTCACGCTGGACGCGATGGGCGCTGCGCCCCACTGCAGCGTGCTCGCGGAGAGGCAGTGCTTCACTGTCGCCGCTACTGATGTATGTTCACTATCACAAGATTATTATTGTAATTGATTGTAAAATAAAGTAAACAGAGTCCTTGGATTCACTACGTAAGGGGGAGAATGACGGGACGCCAAAAGACCGCCCAAAAAAAAACTGTTGCCTGTGACTTCCTCCCCATAGTGTTAATTAAAGTATGGTATCTTTCGGGAACCTGACATTTTTCAAGGTTTTATATCTATGCCAAATTTGTTGAACTGCAGCAGAATTATTGAATAAACTGCAAAGGTTAATGAAAAGAAAATTAACTGTAATAATTAGCGATTTTTTAATCTTCAAGAATATTTAGTAATTTTACCCAATGGTTCTAAATATGTTCTGTTACATGGGGAAAGACTAAATTACATGTCTTTTAAAAACACAGAAAATAAGATATCTAGTAATATCTTGACACAATTTATTATTTGATATTTAAAAAAATCTATTTCAGGCAATATATTGTTATACAGCAGAAGTTAGGGGTCCGTGTTACGCACTCGCCGGTGAGAAAGTACTCATCAATTGGTTCCGTAACTATTTAATAATAGTCACCAATGAAATACAAACAAAAAATACACCCTCTACAAGCGCGACAGCCAACAAATCTCACCATCTCACTGTACTAGATATTCAGAACAAATTTATAGTTTTTTCTAAAACATTCGATGGTATTGAAGCTGTTTTAACAGAATGGGGTTCATTTTATATACTAACGAAGAATAAAGAAATGATATATTTAGAAGAGAAAGATCTGCAGTCCAAATTGAGTTTGCTATTCAAAAAGAACCTTTATGACGTTGCAATAAGGATAGCGAGTAGTCAGCATTATGATGTCGAAGGATTGATGGAGATATATAAACAATATGGAGATCATTTATATAGTAAGGTAAGGAGTTAAAAATTTAAAAAAATTACGGTACTCAAAAAAGGTATAAAGTGGAATACGCCTTTGATTACTTCAAAAAAAAATTTTTTTTTTCATCTTTTGTTCCGCTTTTTTATTTTTTTTTCTCTACAATATATTTAACTTGGTCGTGTATTTGATCATGCAATTGGTGTCACCTTTCTAATTAATAAAAAAATACATATAGATTTTTTTGTTTACAGGGTGATCTAAAAAGTGCAATAGAACAATACGTCAAAACTATAGGCTGGTTAGAAACGTCGTATGTGATAAGAAAATATCTAGAATCTAGACATCTAGAGTCTCTCGTGCAGTACCTAGAGGAACTTCATAAGAAGGGTTTCGCGACGGAAGATCACACTACATTGTTGCTAACTTGCTATGTGAAGATCGACCAACACGATCAACAAGGAAAACTTAAAGAATTCATCAATTCTAAAGACAAAGCTATTGATTTTGATGTTGATGTTGCTATTAAAGTAAGTATTTTATTATTGTTTTTCTGTAATTTAAATAAATCTTTTAAGTACGTCAAATTATATCAGTTGCAATGTGTTATTTCTTACTTTTATTCTAAATAGACTTTCAAGCAAATTAAAATGAGTTTGCATAGCTAACGGTAAACAGTAATGTAAGAAATTATCGTTTTAATAGTATATTTACTAATTATGACATTCTAGTTGTCTTTTTGACTCTGTGTATTGAAAATAAAATTATCAGTAGCCTATATGTTCTTCTAGACTTTACTATTTATATCTTTCTCAAATTTGAGCAAAATCCGTTAAGACGTTCTACATCTAAACTTTGTATTTCTTATATTAGTAAGATTACTAGTTTGTTAGGAATGTAAAGGAAACGTATTTAATAGCAAATATGCCCTAAAATGTATTATCTATATTTTAAAATAAAATTAAATACCATGCAGAACATTTTGAAATAATTTAAAAACAAACAAAAGTAGTCATCAGCCTTATAAATAAACGCGGTATAAAACTAAACTTAGGAATAAAGTGAGTATACGCAAATATTAGTACAGATTTAGCTTATATTCCGTTTATTCTTAATTTTAAATTTATACCGCGTTTATTTATAATGCTGTATGTTGCCAGGCTAACTACATTTAGGCCAAATTTAATTAATAACCTTCCAACAGTTCTACAAACTAACATTTATTTAAACTTTTGCATTTATTATATTAGTAACATATAAATGCAGTGCAATATTTTCTAGGTTGTTCGTCAAGTGAGTGTAGATGATGCGTTATCATTGGCCGCTAACCACAAACGTCACGATTGGTATCTCAAGATAGTGCTGGAAGACAAAAAGGGATATAATACAGCGCTAGATTATATCTCTGATCTGGAGTTTGATGAGGCTGATATGTATATGAAGAAATATGGACATAAGTTAATACAACATGAACCTAAGGAGAGCACCAAATTATTAAAATGTAAGCCCTTATAAATAATCGAAATTAAGGAAACACGTGAAATTTTGTTATATCATTTTATACAAAATAAATAAATACGAAATAAGGTAAAGTGAAGTGATATTGTGAATTAAATGCAGCTAATATGATATAGTTAAGTGGGTTTTAAGTGTAAATTATACTTTACTACCTTTCCTCCGCGACTACGTTCGCGTGGAGTAAAAAAAACAAAAGTTAAGCCTATGTGTTCTTCCAGACTATCCTCTACATCTATATTACATTTCATCTAAATCCATTCAGCCGTTTAGGCTACAAACTCTAACAAACATCCATCTAAACTTTCGCATTTGTAATATTATAGTAAGTGTGATTATGTGCTTAAATAGTTAATAATAAGAAGGGAATTTTCTAGTAAAGGTTTTTAATAAATATATTTTTTATTTACAGTATTATGCACTGACTACAAACCTCGCAGTAAGCCACTGGTTGATGAAGATTCTCTAAGCGGAGTTCACAAAGAACCTGACAGGTAATGTTTTAATTATAACAGGGGTTAGCAACCTTGTCACTTGATAATTTCATACAACCCACTTTATTTTTAAAACAATCATTTTGAGAAAAAACAGACACTTAGACAAAAAAACATTTTTGGGAAATAACCACACCTAAACTGTTTTGGTTGATTTTGATCGGCTTAAAATGTTGTCGACCTCTGATTTTTAAATTAATTTATTTGTTCCAGGGCGGTTCCCGACGAATACATCCACATGTTCCTAAACAACTCGGAGCATCTCATAGAGTTTCTGGAGCATATGGTCTCCTGTTCAGACCTCAAGTGTTCCAGTCTGGTCTACAATACCCTCATAGAACATTACATTCATGTCTGGTAAGTTTTAAGTGCAGGCTTTCACTGACAAAACGTACTATCATTTTTGTTGTAAAAAAACATAAGTACAGTTGGGGAAACTGACGGTGTTCCACCTTAAAAGTAACAATCGTTTAATTTTGAAATGAGACGCGTTATAAAAACTAATACAACGCTTATAAATGTATCTATACGAAAAAAAGAGTCTGTAAGTGATCCGCAACTATTTTTTTTTTATTATCCCTTTTATTTTCATCTTAATTAGTTATTTATAGCAAGATGCGGAGTGTCTCGTTGCATTGAACAAGGATTTTTTCCTAAAGTGGAACACCACGGATTGCCGCGATTGTACAAAGCACATTGAATTAACCTCAATTATTTATGTGCATATTTTCTCACCTATGATTTAACATTATTATTTGTAAAAATAAAAAAAAAAAACGTAAATAGTGCTTGTTATGGACTAGCTGTGGCTTGCGACTTGGTCAGATGAAATAAAAAAAAACAATAAAAGCATGCCCATGTTACTGATAAAGTAGCTTTTTAATGATGTAAGGATTTTTGATGTCTTTCCAGTGGTTTTTGAGTTATTTCAATAAATACAAATCTTTTCTCTTTAATATTAGTATAGATTTGTTTAAAACAGTATTTCTGCTTTTAGAAGGCTGCATATAATTAGTATTGTTGATTTTTTGTAATAAAATGTTATTTTTATACAATTTTTTTTGAATATGATAAAATGTTATTTTCAGGGCCAAAACGGAGTCGGAGGATAAAACTCAGGAAGCACTGAAGGTATACAACATGCTGAAGGACCCCGAGGCCAACTACGACAGGGACCAGATGCTCATCATATGTCAAATGTTTAATTTTAAAATTGGCATTCTGCATTTATATGAAGAGAAGAAATTGTGAGTATACTATGTCTTTGATTGATGTAGAATTTTTTTTTCATTTATTTGGGTAAAAGAAAGGTTCAACATATCTTATTGAAATTGGGCACAGATATAAACCAAAGTCTGGAGTACACAAAGCATAAGCTTCATCCCTGAGAAATGTCCGGTTCCCGAAGGATACGTAACTTTTTGTAATTTATATAGTTTGTATGTTTTCTAATACTACGCGGACGAAGTCGCGGGCAACAGCTCGTTTAATTATAAAGAGATTATTATTTAAAGATAGGATATATTGTTCGTGTAAACCATTTCCTTTAAAACGACTGAACTGTTAAATTTGTTTAATTTTGAACAAACGCGGCTTGCGGACAGACAGACAGACAAAAAATTTTTAAATGCGATTTTCCTTATTACCAACACAAATACACCATCTTCCACAGGCAGCACGATGTTTTCCTTCACCGAAAAACGTCTAGTAAATTATGTATATGTGAAAATTTTTAAATCATATTGGTACATGGCGGGAATCAAACCTTGAACGGTAGATTACAAGTCAGGTGCCTAAACCACAGCCACCGACGCACTTCCTTTTTCATTATATGTATATCTATACTATCTATACTAATATAATAAAGCGTAAACACACACTTCTTTGTTGCCTAAGATGACAGCAATTACAGCATATTTTTGAATAATTCTTCTTTTAATAAAAAGCCCTACACTTACGTCATGCTTTAGGCTATATATTTTCACGTCGTTAAATTTAGAGGTAAATATTTTGGATAAAAACCCTAATGTGGGAAAGAGACCATAAGTTGTGGCCAACATCAAGGAAGCAAGGTTGCCATGGTTTGACATGTCATGTCATTTTGACATTTGCGATTGATAATTTGACAAATGTAAACAATGAAATAAAATTTTTACACTTTGATGCGGATGAAGTGGCACGGGAACAGCTAGTATACGAGCTGTTGCCCGCGACTTCGTCCGCGTGGTATTAGAAAACATACAAACTATATAAATTACAAAAAGTTACGTATCCTTCGGGAACCGGACATTTCTCAGGGATGAAGCTTATGCTTTGTGTACTCCAGACTTTGGTTTATATCTGTGCCCAATTTCAATAAGATATGTTGAACCGTTACAGAATGATCGAGTAAACATTAAAAAACTAAATTAATGAATCCCACGGGAACCGTAACTATTTCCGGGATAAAAAGTAGCCTATGTGTTCTTCCAGACTATGCTCTAAACCTGTGCCAAATTTCATCGAGATCCGTTCAGCCGTTTAGGCTACAAACGCTAACAAACATCCATCCATCTAAACTTTCGCATTTATAATATTAGTAAGAGTAAGATGTGTGTGTGTGTGTGTGTGTGTGTGCAGATGGCGCGCGACGCTGGCGCTGCACATGCGCAGCGGCACGCCGGACGTGGCGCTGGAGGTGTGCCGGCGGCGCGGCGCGGCCAGCCCGCAACTGTGGCGCGACCTGCTGCACGCCGCGCCGCCCCCGCCGCCGCGCTGTCTGCACGAGCCGCTGCACCACCTCGGTACACCACCCTCGCGACTCTGCACACCTCCCGTAGTCCTCGTCTTAATCGGACATCTGCAAGCGCACCGTACTAGTACAATTCGGAAAACGTACTAGTACACACATTAGTACCTTTAGTACTTCAGATTTGTGAAACACAATACAACAGACAACAACAGAATATAAAGAGGGATATAGATTACTTTACATCACATAAGCAGGGTCAAACATATGTTATTAACGAAAATATATTTAACTTATAATTTTACCCACTTTTTATTCCTATTACCGAAGGTGGATGCTTCAATCTAGCAAATATACAATCAAATTAGACAACGAAGAAGCGAATACCGATATCGTGTAGTGTACTAAAAGTGCCAAATGTCCGATTAACAGAAGCCGTTTGGTAACGTTACTAGTACAGTGCCGAGTAACATTACTTTTTAGTACATCGTACGTGTACTACCCAAGACTAGCATCCCATCACTATCACACTTGCCAATGTGTGATAGTGATGCGACAGTGATAGAGCCCGCTTTAATATCTTTACACGAATGAACAGGCTCGCCTCCAGCAATACCACGACCACATAGAAAACGCGTCTAATAGGGGCAATTATGAGTGTGGTGCCGGCCCAACTTTAGTCCCTTTTTTCCAAGAATAGGATGGGAAGCGAACGTAGATTTGACGGAGGAGGAGACTCACAGAAAAGGGAAATATCCTCTTTATGTGCGTCTATTCGTTGATTAAGGGCAGGCAACGCATCTGCAATTGCGGATGTCTATGGGCAGCGGTAGCTTCGCCATTTTGCCGGATTCAGATGGCCGCTTGCTCGTTTGCCACCTTATGTTATAAAGAAATGTCATACAGACTTTTTTTAATATCATTAGACACATTTTTTTAATATTAGTAGAATAGGACACCGTTAGATTCCCTGACTGTACTAACGCTAAAATCGTTGGAAATAATACGTTTTTTTAATATGTTATATCTTTACAGCCAGCGAGAAACTGCTCTCGCCCATCCTAGTCATCGACTGCCTCACCAGCACCGAGTCTTACACGCTGGGCGATGTGCGCACGTAAGTTTATATCTACACCTATTTATTAATTTTATTTACACTATCTATTGCTTGCGAAATCTTCCCCTAAAATTAAAAAAAATAATAATGAATATAGCCTATGTTACACGTGATAATGTAGCTTTTTACCGGTGAAAGAATTTTTCAAATCAGCCTAGTAGTTTTTGAGTTATTAAAATACATACAAAATACAAATCTTCAAATGTTTCCCTTTTATAATATCAGTATAGATATGTACTTATCACAAAAATAATACTAAAAAACTCAATTTAACAAATAACATATAAGTGTAAAAGTGGCCCTATGCCCACCTATATTTAGTACTAGCTTTCGCCCGCGACTCCGTCGGCCTGGAATTAAAAAAAACAAAACTGAGTAGCCTATGTATTCTTCCAGACTATCCTCTACGTCTATGCCAAATTTCATCGAAATCCGATCAGCCGTTTAGTTTAGCCTACAAACTAACATCCATCCATCCAAACTTTTCCATTTATAATATTACTCTGATTAGTACTTATTTTTTAACTCTAATTCTGATATAATATGTCTCTGATTTTATATCAATAGGCTTAAAAATATAAAAAGAATTATTTTTATATCTGTTAATTTAAATTTCTTTAGATATCTAATGGACGTATTAAAAGCGGAAGAGGAGGTGATAAACAGAGAAAGAGAGCTGTCAGCTAAATACAAAAGCGAGACGGAGAAAATGAAGAAACAGATAGAAGTTATCCAGAACGAACCAATCACCTTCCAGAGTTCGCGATGCGCTGCCTGCAATGGCTCACTGACATTACCTTCTGTACACTTCTTCTGCCAACACTCTTTCCATCAACAGTAAGTGCTTGAAAATAATTCTGTTTAAAAAAAATGTGTTAGTAACAAGAAAGTAACTTCGCTTAGCATTAGAATTAAATACTTTTTTGTGGAAATTCAACCCCTAAGGGTATGAATAATGTTGAAATACCTCTTCTATACAAATATAATAAAACACACCTTTTTTATATAGAATGTAAACAATCACAGCATATTTTTTGAATAATTTTCTTAATAAAAAGTCCTACACTTAAGACAGTTGTAGAGTATATATTTTCACGCTATTTAAAATAAGGGGTGAATAAATGGGAAAAAACTACTAGCACCAAAGAAGCAATCTTACCATAGTTACTCATAATCAATTGTAAGAAACTTCGTTGTCATTCGATCTTTTAAATTTTGTTATTTGCAATGAAAAGCTATAATTTCATGCGGGTAAAACCGCACGGTAACAGCTAGTAATATCAAAGAATAAGTCTTTGTATGTAGGTGATATTGAATGGACGATAGATTACAAAATAATTGTATAACTATAATATTCAATGCTAGCTGTTGCTCACGACTTCATCCCCGTGAAATTAAAAATAATAAAATAAAGCCTATGTCACTCACTAATAACGTATCTTTATAATGGTGAATGAATTTTTAAAATGGTCCAGTAGTTTTTGAGTTATATCAATACGTATAAAAATACAAATCTTATCTCTTTATAATAGTACGAGCTGTTGCCCGCGACTTCGTCCGCGGGGTATTAGAAAACATACGAACTATATAAATGACAAAAACCTACGTATCCCTCGGGAACCGGACATTTCTCGGGGATGAAGCTTATCCAATGTGTACTCTTTGTTTTATATCTGTGCCAAATTTCAATAAGATATGTTGTACCGTTGCAGAATGATTGACTGAACATTAAAAAACTAAATTAATGAATCCCACGGGAACCGTAACTATTGCCAGGATAAAAAGTAGCCTATGTGTTCTTCCAGACTATGCTCTAAACCTGTGCCAAATTTCATGGAGATCCATTCAGCCGTTTAGGCTACAAACGCTAACAAACATCCATCCATCCATCCATCTAAACTTTCGCATTTATAATATTAGTAAGATAGACGTAATGAGATTGTGTCTGTATTTAACCCTTACAGGACCATAAGATGGCTCAGACCAAATATTGATTTTTTTTACATTTGATTTAGGCGCAATAAAGTCAGACAGTTCTTTGTTTCTCTAATCGTTCAGAAACGCATTTGCCGTCTTGGGTATACGTTTTTGACATTCATTAAAATAAATATCTATTCAATAATAATTGAAACCGACAAAGATTTTTGTAGAAGGGGAAAATATTTCCCATGAGCGTGAAAGTTAATACATATTGTATATATTACAGTTGTTTCGAGAGTTACTCCGAGTGCGAGAGCGAGTGCCCGGCGTGCGCTGCGTGCGCTGCGCCGCGCCCGCCCGCGCCGCCGCACCACGCCGCGGAGACTCTGCACTCCAGACTGCACAAGGAACACGACCCGTAAAATATTTAAACCTTTCTACTCGATAAGCAGAAAAAAAACGACACAAAAAAGCCAACCATTGAGTAAAAAAAAAACTAAAAAAATTAATCTTCGTCTGAATTTGATTGGAGTGTGCTGGAGTGTTGTGACGTCATCAAACAACGAAGTATTTGATTGGTTCTTAGAACTAAACACTTGCTTCAACCAATAGCGTTGCGTAGAACTTGGGGGAAGTTTTAAAAAAGCCACTTTTTACGAATTAATTTGACTACTAATATCTTTATAGATATATTTTTCTAGTAATAAAGTATACAAAAAAATGTTTCGTCCAATTTAGCGTTATATGCCTATTGCCTATCAGCGATCTGGACCCTTATTTTTTATTTGTATTAAATACAAAATTATTCGCTTGAAACAATAAAACATTTCCTCCAATTGTATTGCGATCTTCATATCGGTTTAATATGTGATCTTCATACAAATCAAACGTCACATTTTAAACATAATGTTGACACAGGTGTGCGGAATTTACGGAAATATTACAGTTTTACGTAAACATTATTACATAAATGCTAGATTTTTAACACGGTATGACAATCCTGAAAACAAATTTAATAAAAAGCCCTACACTGACGTCACGCTTTAGGCTATATATTTTCACGCCGTTAAACTTAGGGATAAATATTTTGGATAAAAACCCTAATGTGGGAAAGAGACCATAAGTTGTTGCCAACATTATGGAAGCAAGGTTGCCGTGGTTTGACATCATGTCATATCATTTTGACATTTGCAATTAATAATTTGACAAATGTGGACCAAAAAATTAAATTCCTATAATTTTATGCGGATGAAGTCGCACGGGAACAGCTAGTGTTATATACATCTCAATTAATGTAAAATTCTGTTCAAACTAACATTTTTGGTAGGATCAAAGCCAGTTTTAACATTTACCTTGCCCTGGGCGAGTTATCCACGTCCCATCACTGCAAAACGCATTCGTAAAAGACATTTTTAGACGCCCCTTTATTACTGACGCCCTGGGCTGTCGCCCTGATACGCCCTACCCTAAAAATAAAACACTGCAATAATCTTTATATCCATTCAATTCACTTCGGTTGTATGATAATTTCACAACCATAAAATTCCTATTAAATATACGCCAATCAGTATCGCTTCGGCCGTGGTCGCGAGTGGACGTGTTTAAATTTGTTTAACGATTCGTGTACAATGCTTATTCAGAGTCGCGCGTTGTTTTAACTTTGAGTGCTCGTGTTCTGTTATGATTCCGCCTTTCTCCTGGTGTTTTCAAAACATCGCCAATGACGGCATCGACGGGTAATGTTAACATTAACAACAGAATATTACATTTAAATAAAAAAAATAATTAAAAAAACTTTAAACTCTAAATATTAGCAGCCTAACAAATATTAGTACAGATTTTGCTTATACTCAGTTTATTCATAAGTTTAACGTCAGATTGTAAACGAAACGCGAAGTGTTTGAAATTTCTTTTATTCGACTATCAATGCGACACTCAGTGTATGTACTTAGTCACTTAGGATTGGCTAATACTTAAGTAACTTGTGAAGTAAACAAGTGTGGCTTTTGTATAAATTACCAATACTGTAACGAGGTTTTGTCACATTTTACTTTACCTACTGAATTATCGGAATAGATTTAAAAAAAATACAAAATTTTTGTTTGCATATTAAATGCAACATTTTATCCTATACAAGTATAGTTTTTATTATCAGCTTATTACAATAGATAAAATTTACAAGCAATAAATAAACGGCATTTTAATGTTCCCTTGATAAAGAATTTAACAAGACATTCAAGGTTTCTGTTTTGTATTTGTTATTGACAAGGTAAATAAAAATTGTTTTGTAAAAATGAATTATCAAAATCGGTCCACTAGCGGCGGAGTTATGCCCTAACACAGATAAAAAAAAATAATAAAAATCACACACAGACGACTTGAGTACCTCCTTCTTTTGGGAAGTCGATCAAAAACGTTGAATAATATCATGTTAGCTTTTTAATTTTTTTTTATGTTTATTAAAGGCAGTTGCCCCCCTTCATTTTTATTTAAATAGATAGTTTCCTTAAATATTTAATGCCGCTGTTTCTTTTTAATTTCAAATAATGATATTGAGCGATATGTGGCAGTGTCTACAATGCACGGATGTTATATTCGTTTATTAACACTTTAGTGTAAATAAAACTGTTTGTTGATGGTAATATTGCAGGTGAACAATTGTAAAGAATTTACTAACATTTTTGTTTACATAAACAAGTGTATTGTGACGTCATTGCTTTGATTTTTCACGTAACTGTAAATCTCAGTTGAAATACCGGGACAAAAACGTTGCCGTCTCATTTTTTTTAATAAAAACGAGAGAGATGACACTAAAGTGTTATTCGAATATTTCTATACTGGATTATAATAAACTTAAAAGCTTAAAAAGGCATTTTTCGATGATTTTCTGATCATATCTTACATAATTATTAACAACAAAGTTACCTTAATGTAAATTTCCATACAAATGTTAAAAATAGAAACTAAGCGTGTTAAAAATGAAGTATTTATCTATCAGATATGCAGTGGTATCAGAATACTTTGGGCGAGGTTTGTTCAACAAGTTGACGGTGGTGACGGAGGGCGGTGCGGAGGGCGTGTCCCCCGCGGCCACGCCCCCCGCCCCCGCAGCCGCCCCCACACCGCCCTCACAGACACAACAGACGTATGGACCCGGCGCTGAGGCTAAACTACGCCTGCAAGAAGGACAAAGTAAACAAGGTAACAGATAGAAATTTCTTAAAATTATAATCTTTTTACTAATATTATAAATGCGAAAGTTTAGATGGATGGATGTTTGTTAGAGTTTGTAGCCTAAACGGCTCGATCTCGATTAAATTTGGCATAGATGTAGAGAAGAGTCTGGATTAACACATAGGCTACTTGCTTTTGTTTTTATAATACCGCGCGGACCGAGTCGCGGGCGAAAAGTAGTAAACTATATATGTGGGGGTGGCTGAAAACCAGCTCGACTAGATCTCAACTAGTATGGGTTAAGCTGACCCTTCCCCTTTTGCCTGTTATCTGTTACAAATTTTCTTATGTTTAATAAATGTTCTTATAAATGTTTCTTATTTTGTGTAACACTATTTTTTGATTTAAAATAAAAGGGTTTTTATTTATTTTATAAACAATTTAAACTTTATAAGACAGACTTTTTTTTTTTCAAATTATTACAAACTTTTTTAAATTGTTCCAAAATGCTCAATGTTGATGTATTTTAATGTAATTCGTGAATATAATTTTATTTTGTATTTGGTTTATACGTGAATTGTTTTAATAGTAATGTTAGATATATTTTTATTTCACAATTTAAGTGTTTTGTGTTCACTGATAACTTACAATGTCAATAAAGAACATTTGCTTTATCAATTTAATTTACTTGACTACAGTGTATTTATGTTTGCTATTGAGAAACAATGCAGTCATTTTTAATTAAAAAATATAATCATATTAATTCGAAGAATGAATTCCTTCTTATTGACCTTTATAGAAAAAAAAAACGATGTAACAAATTACATCAAGCATTTTTGAGAAATTATCTATGTTTTCGTCAAACATTATTAATCGCACGTTATAGCTGACTAATATATTATATACTTTATTTCACTTAGAATAGCTGATCAATATGTCTGTCCCTTTCAATCAAAGTAACTGCTCACTAAGTCTGTGCCATTAATTCCAAGTGACTGGTCAATAAGTCTGTCTCTTTCACTCAAAGTAGCAGGTCAATAAGTGGGTTTCTTTCACTCCAAATAACGGATCAATAAGTCTGTCTCTTTCATTCAAAGTAATCAATCAATAAGTGTGTCCCTTTCAGTTCAGATAACTGGTCGATAAGTCTGTCCCTTTCACATAGAAGGAGTCCTCAGCACTTTAGTATGTATTCCAGTGTACGTGTCGAGCTCGGGCAAGCAGGCGGGGGCGGGCGGCGCGGCGCTGGTGCCGGTGGCGGAGGGCCGCATGCGGCTGCTGGAGCAGCAGCAGTACTCCTCCAGCCTGGAGGCCAACCTGCAGCAGCTGCGCCCGCGCAGGCCCTCGCCCGCGCCCTCGCACACGTCAGTACACGATATCTAACTATCGCATAAGAAAAAAAATCCAGATTCTTGTTGTATGCTGTATTTGGCTTGACCTTGAATTATGAAAATTAACCCTGAAATTAACGATTTTTTCTTTTTAAATGCCATAAATTGAAACGAAACGGGTAGTAAATTGAACATAGATTAAAGGAAAAAAAATGTTTTTTCAAAATATCTATGGTTAAATAAAGCTTGGTAAAGTTAAAAATTAAAAAAGTTTTTACAACTGTCAGTTTGACAAGAGGTTTACGAACATCCTCCGCGTGCCGACTATACCACTTTTACTAATTTTATAACTTATTTACAGTTACCAAGACGTCAGCATGTCACCTAAAATATCTTCAGCGATCAGTAACGGGGCTAACAAAAACCCTTTCGAAGACGACACTTACGATGAAAGTATGAACCCTTTCTGTGATGAAGAGGCGAAAGACTCGAGCAACCCCTTCGCTGAGGACGATGATTATGATAAAAACCTCAACCCCTTCTCGTAAGGGGAAATATTCCACTTGTCCAATGTCACTTGTATTAGAATATTGCCCTCCCTTTTATACTTAAAAATATAGAGAAAATAATTGTATCACGTGTAATTTCAAGTTATATAATGTTGCCAACATAACGTGATTTATCGCTTTGAAGTTAGGTTTTTTAACTGCTGTGGGAAAACTATTGGGATATAAATGTCGCTTTTTGAATATGTTGAAATTGAATATATTAACCGTTTTTGTTTTTTAGTATAAAATCGAAATAATAATGGGGAAAATCTTAATTCTGTACTTTTTATGATATTGGCAACATTGATGTGTATAAGACTGGCAATGAATTGCAATATTTTACGTATGATCTTAAAAATTAAGAAATGTCTCATTTTTTCATGTATTTACAGGAGTAAAAAACAACAATATAATAAGAATATAACTGATTTTTATTCGCCAGTAATAAAATGTAACTGTCAGACATTTAAATATGGCAATTTTTACTGCAATATAGAATCATGAATATGAAATAAATGAAAAAAGATATTTTAGTTTTTTTCAAGAGAAGGTTTTAAGTGTATTTGATCTCTTGTTTAAGATATATCACTTGCCCAACATTGTAAAATGCAATGTAATAAAAAAAATAATTTAGGCACATTTTACACCTACATACATTCCTAAAACACATGTTAATACAGTCAGCTTGTAAGAATAAGTGTAATTAATGTATTTAAAATATCTATAATATATTTAAAAATGTATGAGTTTTAATATAGATTTATCACAAACTTGTGTTTTACTACTTCCATCCACTTTTGTTTTTGTTTGTTCACTATATTCTATGATTTGTTAAGAAAATTAGTACCGTGTTGCAGAATTGGCGCAAACTAGATATTTGGCATAAACGTCACATCTCTGACAGCTGTCAATGTCATTAGAAAGATTGGATTATGGCCCGCGGTTCCAGGCAAGAAGTGTTGCTCTTAGTTTCTAAGTTATCATGGTTGTATCAATTAAATAAATTGTTTTAAAGTATTACCTTAACTAAATGAGGTATTAAAGAAAAACAACAATTTGGAAATTTTCGAAGCATTTTATTTATGACCTTTAACACTGTGTATAATATATTTTGATAGTACATTTAGAGCAATGAGTAATATTACCGATCATTACAACGTTCTTATCATAAATTGAATGAAATCTATAAATTATATATAGAATATATAATTTTTCAAATATCCATTCTCACCCAACAATCAACAATCACTATCGAAATCACAAGAACCGGGCGAGCGTCGGGCGAAGTGTGTGGGCGGCGCCGGGGCGTGGCATGCACGTGCCCGCCCCCGGCCCCGCCCCGCACTGCGCCGCTGACCACTCGGTACATAAAAGCATAACAGAATAGTACAAGCTCCTTCCGGCACCCTACTAGTTCCAATCGACCGACAATCATAAATACATAGAATAAAGAACCTAATATCAAAATAACATACTAGAATCCTATAAAAATAACAGTATAGCTTAAAGAGTACACTCTATAAAAATATATATAATACAGCTTAAGCTGTTATATCTAATTTAAAAAGGTTTATTTTTGGATCTACAAAAATATAACCAAACAAGAAGCTCTGCGCACAAAAACAAAGAGAATGTTCAATTTTAATAATATTTTACATCACTCGCGGCACTCCCGTCGTTAGCAATTCTGCTCTAATCAACTACGTAAACACCATTTTGCTATGCAAAATACATTATCCTAGATATTTAGAAAAACAAATGAAAATAATTTACAAACTTTGGAATGTTATGCAAATGACTAGAAAAGAAAGATGTGGCTATGTAGCTTGAGATCTTTATATTCGATACATTGAGAGAGGCGTTTGCGTGAAGTCTGAAGAATCATCAGCGAAACGCGAAATATTGAGCACATCGTCAAACTTCCACTTTAACAAATAATTTGCACGACACAAATGAGAGTAAGTATTTGACGTTGTGCTGTACGAGATACCTTCACTTAACGTTACATTCCGACAATTAACGTATTAATTTTCAATATTTAAGAAACATTATAAACACACAGCATGTCTAAATTTTGGTTAATACTTTTTCAACTTATAACTATTTAATTCTATACTAAATTATCAGGATATTCTAGTGTCGAGGCGAGAATTTGTCTACGGTCTGTGCAAGCTAGCGGATTTCGGACACGGAGAGAAGCGATTTTTTTTAAACATTTTGACGTTTGTAAACCATACGAATAAGTACCAAATGAACTCGTCAAAGATATTTACAACGACTAAAATTCACTTAAGCTTACAAATTGTCATGAAATATAATCTATGAATACGCACGTTAAGGGGTCGCCTACAAGCGATAGTACACATATAATTTTATTTAACATTTAAGCGGTAACGAGATTAAGATTGCTTGGACTTATCGACAGACGGTTATGATGAAATTGTAGAAAATAACTGCAAGAATTAACATATGAAATAACTGTCACATCGATTATCTAACTACTGTGATATTTCTGTATTATATTGAACTAAGGACGTGATGAGGCGCGGAGTCGCAGCCTCCTGTCACATGACTAGACATCCGCATTTTGTGACATCGACAAAACTGAACGCGACCGACTGCGTCAACCTTCCCGAGAACATCCCAATAACCCTACTTTATACAATCCAAACGATAAAATTATTGTGTATCTAGGAACTGAATTAAAAAATAAATATCAATTATAACATAATTTAAATTCTCATCTAAGTTAAAGCGTCAAATAAAACGAACGCTACAACTATAATATTCAAGTGTTGGGTATTTTTAATGTATTTACAACGTACTACCGTGAAAAGAAACGTTACGTATGACGTCATACCTCCTCCGACTGCTGACAAAATATAATCTACTTCGTGTCATACGTATATACAAGGTAAATTACAATGTATCCAAAGTTTAGTGAAAGTCTATATAGATTGTTCTCGATTTTTACATTAAATCTTGTCATCTTTATGGTGTACAAATGTCGTTTTATAATTAAATCGATTCGATACATTTGCAAAGTCGCGTTCGAATCGATTTCTCACAAAGTTAAGAATACAACCGTAGAATTCCACTGCCGAAATGTAAGAAAATCATAACTTCATATTTTCGGAGCAAATGAAAAATTGATGGTTGTTATGGAACATTTCTGCAATGAGATTTCACGGAAATAAGAACCAAGTGTTATGACGTCATGAACTTTGACGTGTCTAAGATCTGGCTGGAAAATGTGATGATAAAATGCATTTGTCAAATATTCATGTTGTCATGACAACGGCATTTCACAAATCATATTTCTATGAATATTCAGTGTTACCACGGACATTGACACGGCACAAACTGTTTAATTCGCTATATTATTGTTTACCCCGCCTTCCGATACAGTGCACCGGTTTGGTCCCAAACTACAAGCATTTGATCTTCAATATATATAAAACTATTTATATATAATATAGCATTAAATGCATTTTAATACTGTTAACTTTGGTATATACATAATAAACGAATTTCATAAATTATATAAACATATTTTACTATATAAAAATTAACACAAATCAATTGTTAAATAACAATAAGTAAGTCATTAAAATATCAAAATATAAATAATAATTATGCCCCTTTTTCCTAATGGTTCCCTATCCCAATAATTCCCACCAAACCAGTCACATTTTAAATTGCTCAACACCGACTCCGATTACAAATATAAATATTGTTAATATATTTGAAAGTTTAAAGTGTATGTTATATTATATTCATTAATATTTCAATACAATATTAAAAAGGGTAAACCCACAGAAAATCAAGTTTGGCACTTTATAGTCTGAAATGTTTCAAAATAAACATGGCTCAAAAGCCTGGTAACTAAACCACGAATATCAAACTTGATATTTGATGCAATCAGATGTAGGTGACATTAAACTTGATACCAATCTACTGTCAGATTAGTGTTAGGTTATATTTGAATACATGTCAATTATCAGTTAGTGTACCTATCTGTAATGGGTGGTGTATAGTGTATAGCGGGAAGCGGAGCGGTGTGAGCGTGTGGGGTAGCGGGTAGCGGGTAGCGGCTAGCAGAGCGCCGGCCGTGTCAATGTCCGCTGGCGGGTCTGGAGACACGCCTAAGTATAGCGGCGAGCCAGGGCGCCTCACGCGCCCCCCGCGCCCCCTGCGCCCCCCGCGCCCCCCGCGCCCCCCGCCGGCCGGTCGCCGCGCCGCGCGGACCGCGACCTGTGCCCGCACACCTTCAGCGTGTATATTCACTTTGCTTCGTTTGCGATATCTCTTGTATTCAAACCCTTCTCTCATGAAAGTTATCTGATATTCGTGTCTCAATTATTTCAAACAAACAGTTACACTAAAATTATTTTAACTCAAAAACTGATATTGTAAGGTGCTCGTGTTTAGCATTCACATTATTAGGAGGAAGTTAGCGTAGCAATGCAAGCAATGGGGCGGATGCCCCCTCCCCCTCAAAGATAGTCATATATTGTAAAGTAATTTAAAATACTATGACGCTTAATATGGCATCAGGGGGTAATCATTACTAAGTTGCTTATGATCCCGAGAGACATACATAGACAAATCAAGAACGGCTTCTCAATTTTTGATTAAAAATAAGAGGAAATGTTGAAAAGCATTCGCTATAGTGATTTTACTACTATTTCCCCCTTTGAGCCCCTCTTAATTATTGGCTTGCGACGCCCATAATTCTATTTCTATAATAAAGTAGTTTGAATGCTCACCACAAATTGGCGAAAATGTAACAAAAGCATCTTGTATAAGTCTATCCATTTACGGTCAGTGGTTTTTACACATTTTAATTACAATTATTTATTATCTGTTTATTTATATTTATCGTATGAAAATATTCAGATACGAATAGTTTTCAAATATACTTTCATCAGTGAAGGTAATTAGTATCTAAACATTCAACTACGAAAATAATTTGTAATAATTTTTAAACTATAAATCAAATCGCTACGAAACAAAGTAAAAACATACAATACATAGAAAAAATAAAGTTTAAACAAATAAAGCAATGTTTTATAAGTGGAAAATATTTAGAACAAAATAACATATTTCAGATATTATAAATTAAAACATGAATGGTAAGAATTCAAAAAAAAAATATTAGTCAAGAAACAATTTTTTCCAGCTTATAGGATAATATTCAAATGTAATATGGATATGCATAAGAAATGCGAAAGTTTAGATGGATAATGTTAAAATTTGTAGCTAAACTAAAACTGAACGGATTTTGATGAAATTTGGTATAGATGTAGAGGATATTCTGAAACACAAAGGCTTACTTTTTTTCTTTAATTTCACGTGGATATCTAGTATTAGGTAATAAATGATATTTACCTAATCTGTCCGGCGAGGAGCGGGTTGATGGCGTAGAGCCAGTCGTGCACCTCCTTGTCGCCCAGCGTCTGCAGCAGGTAGCCGCGCTCCTTGCTCACCACGCTGCAACAACAACACATGTCACACCACAGACAACACAAAAATCATGATATCATTCTTCAAAATCGGTTTAAGTTACTCATCTATACTTATATTATGAAGAGGAAACATATTTCGTATGTATTGTAACAAACTCAAAAACTACTTTGCCGATTTAAAAATTCTTTCACCATTAAAAACCTACGTTATCTGAGTAACATAGGCTATGCCCGCGGACGGATTCACGGCCAAAAGCTAGTATTCGAATGTAGCAATAAGGCCGCTCTTGTGCAAATCAAATGTAGCTTAGTTTATTTATAAAATAAATACATCTTATCATATTAATCATAGTAATATTATAAACTAGCTATATCTATGCCAAATTTCATCGAGATACGTTCAGCCGTTTAGGCTACAAACTCTAACAAACATCCATCCATCCATCTATCCATCTAAACTTTCGCATTTATAAGTAAGATGTGAAAGTCTAGATGGAAGGATGGATGTTTGTTAGAGTTTATAGCTTTAACGGCTGAACGGATATCGATGAAATTTGGTTTAGACGTAGAGGATAGTCTAGAAGAACACATGGGCTACTCACTTTTGTTTTCTTTTTTATTAGATGGAGTTGGGAGCGAAAGCTAAATAAATAAATGTAAGTGGCGTACCTAAAGGTGTTGGGCATGCGCACCATCTGCTCCTGGTCCTCGGAGTACTCGACGTGCGCGTTGGCGAGGTTGATGAGCGCGCGCTCGATGGGGTCGCGCTCCTCGCGGTACATGAACACGTACGGCCGCCGCACCACCTGACAACCATCATATTACTCGCTAACGACAATAAATAACTTTGGTATTATTGTTCTTCAAACAATTTTTTATCATGATTTTCAATATTGTCTATATTAACTCAATATGCCACGATTCGTTATCAAATAACATCAGGAACGCTTTCTAATTTTCTTCAATCCATTTCATGTACAGTCAGATAAACTGGCAGTGTTCCACTTTAAACGTTTTCATCATCAACATTTAGAAACAATTTTAAATGAAACACTGAATAAAAATCAATACAAAGCCGCTCATAAATGTGTCTATACGAAAAAAAGACGGTTAGTAATACACGGTTTTTAATTATTATCGCTAGAGTTTTACCACTTATTGCTGTTAAATTACTAATTAGTAAGGAAGCAGAGTTTGTTTTGTTGCAATGAACAAGACAATTATTCATGAAGTGGAACGCCGCGGGTTTCCGCGAATGTACGTAAGAGTATCCGTGTTTTGTTCGTGTTTGTTCGTGCTGTGTTCGTTTTTGTTCGTGTCATGTTGTGTTTGTTCGTGTGACATACCAGCCATCTCTTCTTCCAGCCATGTGTGCCGTGCTGCAGCACGTTGAGGTAGCCGCGCCGCGCGACGGCGGCGGAGACGCGCACCTCCTCGCAGTCGGGCACCAGCAGCGCGCCCGCGCCGCCGCCCCCCGCCCCGCCCCACGCCGCCACCGCGCGCTCCAGCATAGACCGCTCCGGGGAGCACAATCTGTATACGTACAACATACTGGAATACATCCAAACATCTACCTAATAATCTAATAATCTCGTTGAAATCTTACTTATATTTTAAATGTGAAAAAAATTTAGATTGATGAATGGATGGGATTAAATCGTATCTTTGGAACGGTTCAATGGATTTCGATGAAATTTTGCACAAATGTAAAAGTCTAAAAAAATATTAGACTGAACTATCGCACAACTGTTTTATCTGGCTTTGATTCCTATGAGCTTATATGGAGGTTACATTACTCGATTTTTAGTTGTGCAACTAAACAGGTGAATTGGCTGCACAACTGTGTGATTGTCGATAGTTTAGTCAAAGGACTGAGTCGTGAATATCAGCCAGTATTAAATATATAAAAGTGACTGACTCGAAGCTGCTGGCGCTGTGTATGGAGGAGAGCAGGCTGGGGGTGGAGATGTCGGCGGACACGCCCTCGTCCACGGGGCTGGCGGGGGACGCCGCGCCCCCCGCACCCGCACCCGCACCGCCCTCCGCACCACCTGATGCTGAACCTATCCGTCCTGAATAGAACAAACAGTCTTAAAACAAACGGCATTTAAAATATGATTACTAAACTAACATAAAAAAGCGTATACACAAACTATTTAGTTAAGATGTTAGCGAAAACAGCATATTTTGAATAAATCTTTTTTTAAATAAAAACCCTAAACTTACTATACCCCATAGGTTATATATTTTCACGCTGTTACGGAAGTAAATAATTTAGAAAAAAACGTCATGTGGGAAAGGGACAAAAACTACAAGCTGACATTAAGGAAGCAAGGTTGCCATAGTAATGGAATTTTTATTTAATGTCAAAGGCGTTATCATTTGTGCATCGCATTTCATGCGGATGAAGTCGCATGGGAACAGCTTGTTACTGATAACAGACAAAACTTTTGCAAGTGTACAAAAGTGTACCTTGTATAAGTTTGACGTATTTAGCGGCGAGATCCTTCTCGCGCGGGGTCATCTCCCAAGGCTCGTAGACGTCGTCAGCGTGCGCGTGTGCGTGCGTCGCGTGCGTGCCGTGCGCGTGCGCGCCGTGCGTGCCGTGCGTGCCGTGTCCGCCGTGCGCGCACTCGCCCGCCGCCTTCGCCGCCATGTTGCACACCTCCTACATAGAACAAGAATTAAAGAACTGACGACTGTAGAATTAGTAGACAATGAATGTAAAACGCGGCGAACTATGCTAGGCTGCGAGAGTTCACGCATTGATGGCATTATCGAAGGTGTAGGCTAGAATAGGCGCTGGAGTGGATGCCTGACGGCGACGGTGTTCATGTTTCGTCATGTCCATTAGTAGGAGAGTGACACAACACCAAGGAACGGACGAAATAACTTGTAGGGAGTCAAGAAGGTGCGTGCGGAGCCCAAACTGGCCAAACCGCGCGCCCTTCCGCGATTCGGCCCGTATGACACGAGGGTAGGTAGGGCCATGGGTGGTGGTGGGCTTTGCGCAATCTATATTTCAAGCTGTGTATGTCCAAAGTTCAAGTTTCTATGATGATTGCCAACATTCGTTAGGAGATGGTACAAAGACAAGATATACCTTTTTATGTATAGTAGTACTCTTCATTTTTGTAATCTACAGAATGATGTAGATGCTGATTATGCACAATGGTTTTGCAAGACATTTAACAAGGCATTTTTTAAGGTGCAAAATAGTATATTCGCAATATTAAAAGAACTACATGCAACCGTTCGCTTACTAGATCTTAAGTCATACTGAAGAAGTTCTAGAACAGTGTTTCCAAAAGTTGGCGATAACGCCTTCTTGAGGGGGGGGG